CTGCAAAGCACCAGAATACAGCTCCTGAATCTCCTTGGTCGTTCTCGGAACTCCACGTACTCTCAAGACTCTCCACGCTACAACTCGCGATGCACGCGATGACACACAGAGCACTGCTCCCGACTCTTCGGTTCAGTCGTTCCTGGAGCTTAATACTCTCGACGATGCACTAACCGCGATACATTAAGAGACTCTTTGATGCACTCGACGACTAACTTGGCACTTGCTGCCCGGCTGTCAACTCGATCGGCTCCGCAGGGATTGACTTGCGAGACTAGACACCAATTCGATACTAACTATCTCGCACTCTGTGCGAGGCACACACTAACTGACTGCAGACCAGCAGGGTTTATATAGCTTTTGGCTTGTTTTCGAGAACATTCTGGGCTAAACCGGTAAGAATTCATTCTCAAAGGTTCTCGAACCGTCCATTGGATATCGCCAATTTTGTCGCCAAATGTGGCAACCCTGCCTTCTCTTGCCATTGTATGACAACCCTAAACCTGCTTTGCGGGGAAGCTATCGTACTGCACCTGTGCATTTCGTAACAATATATTATAATATTATTATGTTATTAAAAAATGTATCTATTTATAATGTATATTAACTTTGATTGTTTAAAAACTGTATGATTTTTAAAACAATTTTATAAATATGCAAAATAAATAGTATCTTTTTAAATAATTCTAGATCAACATATGTCTAGTTTTTCCACTGACACATTTCTGAATCCAATCCTTGTCTTGATTTTTTAAACTAGATTTCTTTGTCTCGAATATAAAGCTTAACCTGAGCCTGTTATCCGAAAAAACAGTGTACTATTTATCTCGAAAAACTGTAGCATTTTGTAGAAGTGTAGTTAGAGGTAGTGACTATTCGTAAATGTATTATAGAGCATTTTAAGGCAGATGCTGCATTTTAATATTATTTGTGTTATATTATTATTATGAGCATATTCAGTACATTATATTACTATAATTTTGGAGAGTCAAAAAGCCAGTTACGATCGCTACACCTCTGATTGCTTATTTTATGTATCCTGAAAAGATGAAAGTTTTAGCTACATTGCTTCTAAGAATTGTCATATTTTTTGGAACAGTTGGGTCTTTTGAAAAATACCTTAGTTCATTTACTGGAGAATACCTCTTTCTGAAATGCTTGTCTCATCTTCAATTATTATTTTTCCTTTGTGTTATTAAAAACTGATTTCCTTGATGTAACTAGAATAAAAACAAACCTTTAGAACCAGTTAGCTGTTATTGAAGGTAAAGATAATTTTTTTCATTCTGCTAGAGAATCTTTATATTGAATAAAGGTAACAAAAAGAAGATATGAAAATTAGTTTAAAGTATTTTGTTGATTTTTGAATTTTTTTAATTTAATTTTTTATACATGCAAAGAGTGACTGAACATAAGTTAAAATGTGGTAATCTTTTGGTGTTTGTAAGTTAATTTTTATGAAATTTAATAATTATAATTCATATGTTTCTATATTCCTCTCTGAATTTAAGTAATCGATTGTATGCAGAGTCAAGACTGGATTCATTTGAATTTCATTCATGAATTTTGCAAAACAAATTATTAAAGTTTAGAAAACTGTGGAAAGTAATCTTGATTGTGAAAAGTGAATGTGAAATATTTCTTGAAAAGGTTTATACTTAATTAACATCAATATTTGACTAATCTGAATTAAAATGTAAATTAATCTGAATTGAAATATAAATTAGTTTTGAAAAACTCCGAAGTATATTTAACATTTTCTTTAATTTTGTAACTGATTGCTTAGGGGCAAATTGCACTTCCTGATGGGCACATATGATAATCTAATTCTTCTTTTTGAAATTAATACAAGAAGTGTAAGAAAAATGCATCCAAAAAAATTATTTTTTGCTGTATTTACATTTCATGAAATAATTCCCAGTACTACACATTATGTGTTAATGTATATACCCAATAGTCCTTGGAGTAGTTTTTGTCAATCAGAATTATGAGAGAACTTAGGCAAGATAACCTGTGTATGGTTTGCTTTAAGTAATTCAGACTGGCTACTACCAGTGGTGGATCGGTCAATTTTGGAACAGCAAAATTTAAAAATATGTGATGTAAAGTAAATTGACTAGAGTCATAAAAGTTACACTTTATTAAAAATAAACTGATTGATTTAGAAGTGTATTTTGTTTTAAAAGTTATTAACACTGATTTTCGTAAAGCTTTTGCTTGTATAATGCAGTGTAAAGTAAAACAGAATTTCTCCAACATGGGGTGTAATGTTTCTCTATTAATACTGAAATATTGCCACATGATTAAGTTTTAAGGAGGTTTTCGTTTAATTGAATGAATTTACTACTTAAAATATGCATTAAAGTCACAATTTTTCACATGTTATTTATTGCTTTATTGTTTTTTTGTGTGTGGGAGTGCTGTGAAATTAATCTCTCCATAAAAATAATAGTTTATAGAAGAATTGCATATAAAAAATTAATTCCAGTTTGTTAAAAAAAGTGATATCATTAAACCTAATAATTCTATTTGTGAATAACTAATGCATTATGTATGTTGAAGATGAGATAGGTGTAAAAGAAACATCTGCATAATTTTTTCTTTCCTGGGTTTTATAGGTATATTATATTAAGGCATTTCGAAGACATTCAGTGAATATAAATCCTGTTAAATTTATGTATAATGAATGTTTTATAAGTATTGCTGTTAATATCATTTTTGAGTTAAAAATCTAATGTATTACCTGGTAGCTGTTGAAGGATGGGGATAGATGCTGAAATCATATTCTCATGGTTTTTATGAAGTAACAGCTGACTGGCTAAAGCCATGATGCACCAGTAATTTGTTCTGGATTATCCTAATTCCAAGTGAGTGAATCAACTTCCAGCTGTTTGATATAAATATGGATCAGTTTAGCATAAAAAGTTCTGCCTGTAGGTTTCCATCTCCAGACAGGTGAACATAGTATGTTCTTCCATGATTATGCAACACAAATCTAGTCCAGATCTATGGACAGTGTTGTACATAATCAAGGATGAAAGCAAATCGTTAGATGAGTGCAGTGCTTTATAAAAGAATGATTTAAATGTTGAGTTTTGAGGCAGAGCTTATAAATGTATTAGTTTAGTTAGTAAAAAATTTTTCCTTTTAAAGTGAAAAATTCAAAATCAGATACATAAGTTTTCTGCATAGTGCAGAATGAAACTTTACATTGAATAAATTGTCTTTAAATTCTACTGTAATACCCTAGATTGCTTGAATCCATTACCTAATTTTAATGTGTATGAAGCTTTTTAAAACTGACAGTTTAGTTTTCTATTCAGGTGTAAGTTACAATTTTTTAACATACGAATGCATTTCTTTCATTTTAATTTGTAAACAAAACTAAAGAAACATATGAAATATAAAACTCAGTCTGCAGTGTTTTCTAAATGCACGGTATTTCCTCCCTTTGAGATGAGAATTTTATGTTAGTGATGTTCTTATTGATAATTTCAGGATTTGGTAGGAAATTCTTTGCTCCTGTTAATTTTATTTTGAATTCACAAAATTCTACATTCAGTTCTAATTAACAATCTTTACAATGGAAGATGATTTAATGCTGTCAGCTTCTGCAGTGGAGTATGAAGATTTACATTTTTCTGATTCGGAAGAATTACCTGAAGCTGGTACTAAGACACCATCTCCCACACTTACCATCGATTACAACAGTAGATTATTATCCAAGAAAATTTTTTCTGATAGTCAAATAGGAGATGATTGTGATACTCATTTCTGTGAGTCTAAAAACAACTTCTTGCATTCTAAAGCCCTAGACAACCATGAAGATACCAGCAGTGAAGAACTTGATGTCTCGAGTGAAGAACAGATATTGTGCAATACTATTCCTCAGAAATTAAATCTGAGTGGCATGGCTAGTGTTTCTAATGACATTGACAGCTTGAATTCATTGACAGCCTGTAATTATTCTTCAACGGTTATTAAAGAAGATTGCAAAACTGATGATGAATATATTTCTGAAGATGAAAAAGGAGAAAATTCTTCACATTTTGAAGAAACAAAAATTTGTAGGAAATTATCATTTGGTTTATCTGTTGCTGGTATGGAAGGTATTTCATCAACTAAACAAGAAACTTTCCCTTCATTAAGCTGTTCTGGCTCACTGTTAAGTGCAGCTTTCAACAGAAAAGGAAATTCCTTTTCTGATTTGTCAGATACTCCCAAAATGCCTCTCATGACATGTTTAGAGTTTCTTCAGTCTGAGGTTTCTGAAGGCGAAGGGACCGATTTTGATGAAGTTTCAAGGGGATCTTCATATGAAGCTGAAGAAGTATCTGCTATAAATAATATATATGATTTAGCTAAAATACCTGGAAAAAATGGGCAGCATGTTACCGATTTTAACTCGGTTTTCACTTTAGATGATTTGAGGTATCGTGGAAAATTGGCTAGTGGTTTAAATGCTAATCGAAGGAAATGTTCTTGGACTACAGAGTTAATTACTGATGATGATACTCTTAATACTGAATCTGAGTCTGCCACTGCAGCAATGCAAAAAAGAAAACTCAGTGGTAATAGGTTTGGTGATACTGATGAATGTACAAATGAAATACTTACAGATGAAGAATTTATTGATATTGACAACAAAGGTCAGTATAATTTGTATGCAGAATTAATTTTAAGAATAATTCCATTTAATTTATCAAGCTGATTGACACTTTAAAAAAATCCTTTGTGTATTTATAAATTCACAAATTTTCATGCACAAATTATTTTATAATACAAAAAAGATTTAATAATTAATTGCATAGGATTTCCATTCTAGAGATCTGTCGTGCTACTTTAAATGTTATTAGTCAAATTTGCCTTTTAGAAAATTGTAGCTAGTTTGTTTTTGGATTTTTTATTATAAATTATGTGTTGTCTAAGAATAAATTACATGTTGTCTAAGAATACAATTACATCTTGGTACTATGTATTTGTTTATTTTTTATATTTAGAATGGACGGAAACGGATGATTCTGGTAGTATCAGACAAATCACTCAAATTAAAACTGAAACTTCTATTAAGTTGGAAGGGGATGGTAAGTTAATTGATTGCATGCTTTTTTATTGTATATTTTGGAAACAGCATAATCTGCATCAAAAATATATTTTGAATGTATTTTTTATTATGAATGCATTTAGCATGTTTTATTTGAATATATGCTAGTATTTGCTGAATAAAAGCAGAGCATTTTACATTTGAAAGACTGTAAGAAATATTTGTAAAATGTGTATACTTTCAAGCAGTGCCTTATGATTTTTACTGTTGAAGCTTATATATGATCCTGTCATATTATTTCATTGAAATGACCTAGTTTTGTAAAGTATGAGATGCCACTGAAATGACTGTGGAATAATTATTCTTTGAAATTTGAGATTTTCTAAAATATCACAATGTATATTTATTGCACTCTTCAAAATCATAGTTTATATTGTAAACTTTAAAAGAGGCGTTAAATTAAAGCTATTATTATTTATGCATAATTTTTGGCCTCACTTTATTTTGCTAAAATATACTTTTGTTTTTGAAATAAAACTTGTTTTTTCATTTGGCTGTTTCTTGTTTTGTAAAGGTTTTCTTTCATTTGTATAGTTTATACGTATGTATTTTTTTGTGATATTTACATGTGTAAATTATTTGCATGAGAGCTGATATGATTGCTATAAAAACGGGTAATTTGCATGTTTGGAATTTTTTCCTTGTGTGCCTGTAATAGAATGTTAATTTTCTGCTTTAGTCGCATGATATTAAAAAAGCCCACATCAGTTTTGCTGCACACTATTATGATATCAAATGTATTGTTAATCAGCCAGCCACATACACCCTTCTAAAATCAGGTGCAGTTAAATCTCTCAAAAAAACTCCAAAGAAGGAGGATTCTGATGAGGAAAAGAAGAGTTCAACAGATTCAGAAAAAGAAGATCTCAGCTTTACCGAGAAGAAAAGTTTCTTTCAAAGGCTTTCACTGACATCAGATTCCTTGCCTGTTAATAGCAAATGGACACAGGATGTTTCATTAGATGATTTACCTATGGCAGAAGGAGAAATTATTCAAGAGCAAATCAGTTTTGAAGACAAGTTAAAAATGTTTGAACCTGATGAAGACAATCGGAAAAAAATCCAAAAAAGGGACAAGTCTGAGCAACCTACAGTTTACAGATATGATTTTACAAAGCCTGCTAAAGAGAGGCCTGTTGCCACTGAATTTGTAGTTTCAGAATTGGAGAAAGCTGAAGAAATTGTTAAACAGGTCAGTGAGGAATTAAATGTTGAAGAAAATCTTCTGAATGATCAAAAATTTAATTTGAATGATAAAACTACTGATAATGAGTCTGATGTGGATTCTGCATTCACTTTAGAAAGAGTAGAACAAGAAGTATCTTCTCTTTTAGCGGAAGTTGATCGAGAAGAAAAAGAACTGTCTAATGACTTTCATCATATATCTAGTTCTCAAGTGGACAGTAATATGTCCACTAGAGACTCTCATTTGTCTGCCATTAGGTCTGGTAGTCAAGAAACTGAGAATTCAGATTTTGCAGCTTTAAGTTTTGACTCAGCTCCAAAGAGCCCAGTTCTGACCGAAGAACCTTGTACTTATATTGAAGCAGATGTTTCAATGCAGGAAGGAGAAAAAGTCACCATTTTGGAAAGTGACGTTTATAAAGATGAAAAATCTGTAGATCCAGAAAGATGTGTAGAAGTGGAATCTTTAGCATTTCAATTAGAGACTGAGGGTGAGGAATGTATTTCAGTTGCTTTTTGAATTTTGCTCATCTATGAAGAAATGGGGGAATATAATGGTAAAACTTTTATGTAGGTGATTTTTAGTCTAAAATCTTTTGTTTGTTATCTTTGTTTGATTTAATAATTCAAATAAATATTTTATTTGAAAGATTTTAGGCTAAATCTTTGTTTTTACCCCAAAATCTTTGTTCTTGTATTTATCAAGTTATATATAGTTTTCATTTTAATTTTGTGTTTTGAATCAGTTTTAGCTATATACATCATTTTTATATAAATATAATTAATTTAGGATGTGCTTCCATATAGCTATTACTGAAGACTGCATTATTTAACCACTTCACCATTTCCCACAAGACAGACTTGTCGATTTTAAAAAGTGCCATCAGTGGTTTTGAACCCTAATATAACATATACATATGTATTACACAATTATCAGGTCATTTAAGATGGCCATTGTTCTTTTAATATTTGAATTATTAAAATCATTCTACTAATGATACTTTTCAAATCGTTGAGATATACTGATGATACTTTTCAAATTGTTGAGTCTGTTTCAGGAGGAATGGGAAAGTAGTGAGTAAATGTTTGTTATTGTGTTCAGAACTAGTGGGTAAAGCCTGTTATCTTTGAAAAGTGTTTTTGCTAATTTTATTTTCAGAAATCTTAGTTAAAATACTGATTCTCTTAAATCTTCTATATTTTAAATTTTAAATTATATAATTCTTAAATAATCTGATAGTTATTTTTGAATGTAATAAAATCAATGTGAACTAAACTCAGTTTTATTTCTTAAACTAGATAAAAGTAAAATCTGTGACAGTCATTGTTTTGATGTTTTGATATTGCATGCTGTTAGCTAATCAGTATTTATTTCTGGAGAATTTATACCCCTATTTTAAAATAAGTCCACAGAAAAGTCATGTGTGTATGAAACTGGGAAAAATTGAATTTGGCTCTTTGAGAACATTAGCAGCCCAAAAGAAATGTTTCAAGTGATATCATCTGAGACAGTGTAATTCATGTTGTAGCCAAGTAAAGCATGTTTCAACCATCTAATGCAGTATTTTCAGCAAAGAGTTTTAATCAATGCTGCTTAGGTTTCTGTATCAGCAACAGATCTCTGTCATTCCACAACTGTGTCTTTTCCAGGTATCTTTCTCTGACTGTGTTATTCACTTGTATTAAGATGGTTCTATAGAGTTAATTTTGTTTGGAGACAATTTAAGCTATCCAAAATGACATGCTGATCCATCTGTGACAGAAACCAAAGGAGGCATTTTATTAATGCTACTAAAAATGGCAGGAGCTTTAAAAAATATGTGTTTATGTTCTGATGGGTGTTTAGTATAAATAAAAATTGCTAATATAATTGTATGTTTATAGGCAGCCAGTTTGAAATGATATAACATTTAAATGATTATTACTAAATATTGCTGGCAATTTATTTTTGGTGAATAATAATTTCTTTAATTATGCCTCTCCTCAAGGTAATATGTTACCCATACTGTCTGCTGTAATAATTAATTAACAATAAAATGTGATATGAAATTGTTATATGTAATATTAAGAATTTTTACTTATTGGATTTAAATTACTACTTCTAACTAAAAGTAATGCATTAGATGTTTATTAATCTATGTTAATGTGAGTCTATGTATGTCAATACTACCACTAAATAATCCCTCTTTTTTTTTAATATTTAATACTAATGAGCTTAAATCTGCATGGCATTTGTTCTTTTCAAGTTTTGTAAGAACTACTTCGTTAAAAATTTTTTATGACATATTTAGTGCGTGAATTAATTATACTGTCACAGATTGCAGGCATAACTGTTGCCGTTGACTTTTCATCCTTTATTAGAAATCATGTAGTTTCCGCGTGCCTGGGAAATCATTAAAAGTCGGGGGGGGGGGGAAATCAGCATTATTTTCAGAAATCACTATATAAAGAAATACTGATGATTCATCTCCGCTAGGAAATATAAAGAAATACTGATTATTCATCTCGCTAATAAAAAGATTGTGTTTCAGAAGAAACTAATAAGCAAAAATTGTTCTTTGTGGTAATCATCTTTCCCCTTGCAGAAAGTATTTTACCCACTTCATATCTGATATAATTCAGTGTAATTTAGAAGTAGCCACATTATTCAGTTATATATATTATAATAAATAACTTTTTTCAGTTCAGTGTAATTCTTTACTCCTCAACATTATTTAGAAACACCATAAGCATAATAATTATTAGGAATGATGTGCTGTTATAAATTACTTTTGCAGAATGAAAAGTTTTTTCCCATATATGATATTTCATTTTAAAAACCCTTTTTTTATCTAAAGAAGTATATCACTAGAGGTGAATATTTTGCCTATAATAACAAAGCAACAGCAGTGGAAAAGTCTGTGTTACCCGCGTTACTTTTATAGGTAAAAATTCAGAAGACCTAATTATTCTTGGGAAGTAAAATTTAAAAGGCCTCAAAACCCAGATGATGGCTGTAAAACATATTGCTATTATGCTTTTGAACTGTTTATATCTGTTATTAAGTTTTCCTCTTTATTTCCATTGATCAAAATTAAACTTCATTGCTTTTGTGTACATTTGATTTATTTTATAGATTTTATTAGTTTATGTAAGTTCTTCTGAATATACTTGCAAATTTGTTTTATATGACTGTAATTTATGTATTTTAAATAACCATAATTTTTCTATGAAAAACTGCTAGTTTAAATATTTAATTTTATATTAATACATAATACAAAACTTTCGCTATATCTTAGCATTTTATGCTATTAAGGTATGTATATGCTGCATGTCAAAAAAATTTGTGTAACTAGAAACATTGTCTGACAGTCTTGAAGCAAAACATGCAGAAACAGCATATTTGTCATGCAAGTGAAAAAAAATAAAAAGTTTGCAGAGCAGATAAAAATGGCATTGGGTCCAACCATTGCTTGACTTCTATATGTCTGGAATGCTTATTTTTATGCTTTCATTAGCAACAGATAAACCTGTTGAAAAATGGTACTAATGAGTAAGTTGAATTCGGGTTGCATCACTGCGTTCAGGTAAGTGGTTATATTGGTGAATTGTGCAACATGACAGTTAGAACAGAGATTTTAGTCAGATAATGTTATTATCCCTAATTCCAGTAAGTTGTCTGTATTTATCACAAGGGCAGCATCAAGCTTAGGATGGCAGTCTATACGAATGATGATGTCATAATAAGATCTACTATAAGTATGCTGTCTGCATACTTACCAACATATACCAACCACTTACCAACATTTTGTGCATGTGCAGTGGCACAAAACACCATTATAAAAGTGCTGACAGTCATTGGACTGCATAATTAGTTTTTCTAGTTATATTTACTATTAAGCCTTAGGTATCATTTATCTTAGTGTGTCAGCTGTAAAATTGGAATGTATTAGATTAGAGCCATACTGTGATCATCGTGATATGGATGGCTGGTATGGATCATGATGTATGAAGGTATCCTGGTCAGTATTCATCATATCGTTGTGTAGTGGCGTACATTCATCAGGCTTGATGTTATCATTTTGAGGAACCATTATGATATCCAGTTATTTTTAATGATTCTTCTTAACACTTTAATGGCTCAATAATATATCAACAGTTTGCAGTTTGTTTGTATAGCCAATGCTATTGCCTCTATTGGTTCCATCTTTCAGCAAGATTACACACATGCACATGTGACAGACATCTTCAGAGAATATTTGTAGGTCATTGCTCTTCTTTGATCTGCTAATTCTGAGACCTGCTTCCAGTTGAAAACACTTGATATACAGGTTGGACAGTAGCCTTCTATTTTCAAATAGTTTTTGCTCCTGAAATAGTGAAGACAGAACTTGAATGCTTGCCACTTGTATGGTTTTTGTATGTTAGTACCTTTCATAGAAGCTACAACTCGATGTACACTCCAGCATTTTCTACACATCTTCGTGTACAAACAGGTATGTCTTCTATGACTTTCTTCAAAATCTCAGCAGGAACATTGTTTATGACTTCATACATCTTCATCTCATGTTTACTAAGAGTTTGAGATTTGCTACAGTAGACTTCTTCCGTAGCCCATCTCCATAAAAAGAAAATCACATGGGGTGAGGTTTGGACTTCATGCTGGCCTATCCAGCATTTTGGGAAATGCTTATTAAGCCATTTATTTCCTAGCATTCAAGCTATAATGGGGAGAGGTTATTCTTACATAAAAATCAGTTAATGTGCCTCTTTCTGTTCAGAAATTGTAGGCCATGAAAAATTACTTACATTTCCAGGTAATGTTCAGCATTCATAGTGTCTCTTAATAAATTAAGTCCAATAATGCGATAAAACGTTAATCCACACCACACTGCAACTTTGGACTTACTATGCATTCTTCCATTCTTTTTTTCCAGTTGATCTCTTTTTCTGATACTGAAGTTGGAAGGCTACCTGAAACATTTCCAATAGTCATTAATTTTCGGTAGCGCTTCCTTTTTTATTGTTTTTGCACCCAGAACAGCAAGTCTCCCATGTTGGGACCTTCACCGCTGCTACGCCTGAATTATGGACTGCCATGCTTCATATACAACTTTGGCTTTCTCCTCAATGTTTAATTTACCTGACATCTTTATGACTTAAGGCAATTCAAAGGATCTAAAAAAACTGGAAGCAGTCGCATGTTTTAGATAATAAAACAAGATGAATTTCATTGCAGCATGTACTTAATTTTAGTGGGAATAAAAAATTAATATTAGAAAAGTGCTTACCTCCCATTTTGTATACTAAGATGTTAGTCACACCCATTTTACAATTTATGGGGACTTGAGCTGTTACAAAATATCTAATTATGAGATATGTTGGACAGGATTTAATGGTTGAATGAGTTTATGCTGTCTGAATATTCTAATACATTGTTGCCAAAGTTTGCTTGCATTTAATCATATTTAATATCTTATGTTACAGTTCTAGATCTGAGTTCACTTAATTA